TAGATCTCAAACTAACTAGTGGTGTTACATAAAAGATTATGTGTGTGTGTGTGTGTGTGTGTGTGTATATGAGAATATTGGGGAGTGTTATTCAATTCCCAGTTTATAAAGGAATACAAAAGATTAAAAGCAATGACAATAAACATTGTATACAGCTTCACAGTTGATGAATTTTTTCATATATGTATACCACGGGAATGTCATTCCATTTTGCTATGATAGTACCACTATTTCATTGCCTATGGTGTTGTTATACAATATAAGATGCTATCAATTTTCACAGGGAGAAAGCTATTTATTTGATCCATATACTTGTATTTATGCAGCGATGTTCATTTCTATGTCAGGTGATTTGGAAAATGTACTTTTCCAAGAAAACATAGACATCTGTTAATATGAAGTAAAAAGCTTTGAAGCCTTATATGTAGACAAATATCTGCAAACTCCAATGGCCCAAAAGAGGTATTTAAATTGGTCAGGTGTATGTTGATACAAGGTGAGGTCTAACAGCAAATTAAAGAGTGCATTCCTTAAGAAAAAAAAACTTAAAAATCACTTAAACAATATGAACCACATAAAACATAGCTGTTTTCCTTGTATGCAACCTAGGCTCCAAACCTATGGATTGAAAAAATAAGCAGAACACAGAAGCATGCGGAAATGATACAAGAAATGGTTTGGTTCACAAGAATTTTGCATCTTAAAGACTGAAGTATAATGAGCAAGGTTGATAAATATTGCTGACATGAATGTGGCCTCACACTTAGTCTCTCTACTCAGTTTTTTTTATTTGTAAAACAGAGATAATAATAACTATACCATAGAGTCATTATGAGATTAAATGAAAGCAAGACAAAAGCTTAGAGAGCTACTTTCAGACTCTAAGGACTAAATAGTTGTAAATTATAGGTATTATTGTTATTATCATCATCATCACCAAAGCTGGGAAGAACCACCTCCTTATTCATTCCTTGAACTTGTTCTTGGTATATACTGAAGACCTAAATTAACTTTCGGAACTTAGTATGAGAATCCTCAAAGAAGCCTTGCTTGCCAGAGGAAAAATAAAATTCTTCTCTTTTACTCAAATATTTCAACGGTCATAAACACAAATATAGAAAATGTCCATTTTCTGTAGTCTGATCAATAACCTCAAACAGCCTTTCTCCTTTAAAATTGTTTAAGGTATTAGACAAATTCTTGATCCCCTGTGGGCCATTGCACTCCAAAATGACATTCACAGAGATGCCCCAAGAATTTGGTTTAGCTAAAAGTGCACTGATTGAATATCTTCTCTGTGTACAACATTACATTCATTCTAGATATGTGAGATGAAGAGAGCTGGATCCCTGGCTTTGAAGCTGCGACTTGCCCAGAGTAATGGGGAAGAGGGACATGTACACAGATCATGTGGCTAGAAAGGCAAACAAGTGTCTGTGCTCCGGTCTCTGATGTGCATCTCTGCCCCATTACTTTCGGTGGTATGTTGTAAGTATTGCGGAGAAACGGGTTAGTATGCTGGGAAAAGACCAATGAAAGATTTATGCCTATTCTTCAAAGTCTAGTTTTAACTCTACGTCCTCCAGGAAGTATTCCACTCCTCTTTGATCTTTGATTTTCTTGAAATCCTTTGAAAGTTACTATTTAATCATTTTGGCTCTTAATCATTTTCCACCTAAATTGGAAATTTGGTTGCTTCCTGGGCATATGTAGATTATAATAATCCTTCTGAGGAAAAGATTCATGTTCTTTTGAGACATGCATAATGCTATGTTTGCATTAATTTGAGAAACTGGATGTTTTGTAGTCATTACTAGATTAAATAATGCTAGAAAATAGTCCACAAATAAGAGATGCCATTGTTTGGGTTTCTATTTTTTTGAAGGGACTTATGTTTTATACAATTTGAAAACTTTTAGTATAATTTAAGCATTTAGGTAAGATCGGAGGCATGGCAAACATAAACCTACATCTGCTCTATAGTAAATGTTGTATTTTCAATTTTAAGTGACATTTATGTTTTTGGTCCTGCTCTATAAGTGGTGGTAACAACTTGCACTTTCTCACAGAGTAGCAGCATATAAATTCAGATGTCCTGCAAATGAACCACTGCAGCTAGAGAAAACTCAGAGTGATCACTCATTTGTTTTAATGCCACGTGCAAAGATGGTTGAAATGGCACAGTAATATTCCTAAACCCAAGATGATCAGTTTGTATTATGCTAATTTATCATCTCAAGTTATTACTAAATGTTACTGAAACTCAAAGAAGTTTATTAGCATAGATATGTGTTTTGAAAATAGAGATAGGGGCCTGTGCTGTGGCACAGCAGATTAACGCCCTTTTTGCCTGCAGCGCCAACATCCCATATGGGCACCAGTTCTAGTCCTGGTTGCTCTACTTCCCATCCAGCTCTCTGCTATGGCCTGGGGAAGCAGTAGAAGATGGCCCAAGTGCTTTGGCCCCTGTACCCCTGTAGGAGACCTGGAAGAAACTCCTGGCTCCTGGCTTTGGATTGGCACAGCTCCTCCATTGTGGCCTAATGAGGAATGAACCAGTAGATGGAAGACTCTCTCTCTCTCTCTCTCTTTCTCTCTCTCTCTGCCTCTCCTTCTCTCTCTGTATAACTTTGACTTTCAAATAAATAAGTAAATATTTAAAAAAAGAAAATAGATATAAAGAATTAAACATTGCAGTGAAGAAATGATTTTTATTTGAAAACTAGTAAATAATTATGAACAGATTGAGTCCTATATACTTCTAACACCTAAGATTCTACCACATTTGTGTATGATTTATCTATCTTATGTTTTATATCTGTCTTTTCCTTTCATTTCCACTGTCACTGGTAAAATCCACTTTTCATTATTTCTCCTCTAGATTATTACAATTGCTCATAAGTTTCTTGCCTTCTCCTTAAAGTTGCCTTTTACAATATGCTTTTCTTATCATAACACAGCTGTCAATTTGTGATTTCCAGCTCAAAATCCTTAGTGCCAGATTCTGCCTACAGAACAAATCATAACCTATCTTAGTGTACCATTTACTGATTTCTGTGCTCTCCTTCTATCTTTTTGTATTTCCCAATTGTGCATTTGTGATACTATATACACTACCTACTTTCATACACTTTGTGCACTAAAACAAAACTATTTGTAGCCCCCAAGTTTACCTGTCACTTTCTAATCTGTATCTATTTTGTTAAGGTAATCCCTACGCCTAGAAGGATGCTCTTCCAAATCCTTCAACACTAAGTTCATATGTCTTCTGTGCAGTTGTCTCTAAACTCCTCAGAAGTATTAATATTCTTCTTTCTGATATTTTATAGAAAAGTGCCACTATTTCTTTTACAGAATTATCTATTTTATACCTTAGAATATATTTAGATATTTTTCACCTCGATTGGAATTTGGAAACTTTTTGAAAGTACAAACTATTGTGTCAGCGTTGCTGCACAGCAGGTTAAGCCATTGCTTGTGAGACTCTGCTTCCAATTCAGCTCTCTGGTAATGCATGCGGGAAGCAATAGATGATGATTCAAGTATTTGAGTTCCTGCCACCCTTGTTGGAGACTCCGATAGAGTTCCCGGCTCCTGGCTCCTGGGTTCAACCCCTGCTGGTGAGGTAATTTGAGGAGTGGGCCAGTGGATAGAAGAGCTCCTTTTCTCTCTCTCTCTCTGCCTTTAAAACAGACAAATCTTTTTTTCTTTTTTTTTAAATACAGAGAGAAGTGTGTGTGTGTGTGTGTGTGTGGAGAGAGAGAGAGAGAGAGAGAGAGAGAGAAATCTTCCATCTGCTGGTTCACTCCCTTAATGGCTACAATGGCTGGGGCTGGGCCAGGCAGAAGCCAGGAGCTTGTTCTGGGTATCCCACATGGATGGAGGGGCCCAAGCACTTGGGTCATCTGCCAGTGCCTTTTCAGGCCACAATAAGAGAGCTGGATCAGAAGAGGGGCATGAGTCAGTGCCCATATGGGACACCAACACTGCCGGCAGAGACTTAACTTACTACACCACGGCACCAGACTCACACAAATCTTTTTTAAAAAAGAAAGTAGAGTCTATGGTACTTTCATTTGCAAGTTCTACTGCACTAAAGGTTTTAAATATAACAAAAAATTCAAATAGACATTGAACTAATGGTTGAACAGAGTTTGTATAAAGGATTATACACTAGATCTATATGAATCTTATTGACAATCATGGAATGAAAGTTATTGATGTGACATAACCTGACTTGCTTCACAAGGCTGCCCAACTATTAGGGGCTGCCCAACTATTCTTTACAGCACCCTTGGGATTCCACAGAGATGGCTCAGAGTCCTCCTCCTTAGTAGTGAGAAAACGGAATTGAACAGAGTTCTCAGCCCCACACTCTGCCTTCAAATGATGCTGCTCCGTTTTATATATCAACCATTCAGGTAGGACTTCACTTAGAGAAAGGTTTCACTGCTTAACAAAAGTTTTGTAAATCCTTAGGGTCCCCCCCTTGGAACACTTTCATTCTGTATTATTTTCAAGTCTCTATTCCATGAAAAAAAAAAAAAAAACCTCTTCTGAGAATTAGATAAATTATCTATTATAGTTGGCTAATTTACTAAAGCAAAAATACCAACATGGTAGCACAAAGTACTGTTTCAGATACTTTTACATCATCTAACACCTGACTTTCCATGAGACATGACATTCGTCCACAATCTTTGAACTTAATCCTTGATCTCACCATTCCAACATGGGAACATCTTACAGACATCACTGTCTTTCTGGACACTGTTCACAGATTTAAAAAATCCTTTAGAAGCAATTATACAAATTTCTACTGCTGTAAAAGACAATGGCAAAGCTTCTGTCCCCTAGGCTTATAGTAGCCTGTTCCCTTACCCACAGAATAGGTAGAAAACCCTGATTTGCAAGGAGTCTAAAATGTGTCTTCACTGAAAGCTGTATTAGACTGCTTATTATTCATTTAATTCTAAATTCATTATTTATGGGAAAAATACCTGTTCAAGTCACGGTGTATAATTGGCTGTGTCAGGTTGTGAAGGTACTCCATACCTTTGGCCACATCTACTGCAATAATCAACTTGGACTGCAAATCAAGAATCCTAAAATTTAAAAAGAGATTTAATGGAGATGAAATAGTCAAACCAATAACATATTGTAAAAAAATAAAATGGTCTGTGTGATTTTTTCACTGTGTAATTTTAGACTTCTTTTCTTTATTGAAGGTTAAGTTAAAAATTTGTTAAATCTGAAAAAATAGATTTTCTATATCAGAAAATGCTTAATTAAAGATCAGCTCAGATATATAACACTTCTTGTTTAAAATATTACACTTGATTTTTATAATTTATTTGTAGCACTATACTCAATTTCTTTGTAATAATGTAAAAATGAAATTTATTTTAATCACTGAATGAAATCACATTCTAATTATTGTATGTATGGATCTAGGAAGTGAACTCAAATTAGACTTGTATAAGACCATTTCTTTTTAAAACTTTCTTTTATAAATACGGTGAGCCTTGGTAATTACTTTATTCTGAGCTTACATATGAGTATATCTGATTTCCTGGTATGTTCAATTTAGCCTATTTTTTTTATAAGCTTCAGTTGCCAATTTAAATTTCTTGAAATCTTACCATCAACTGAGTTCCCGTTAAGAAAGCACAAAAGTATTTTTAGTCATTGAAACACAACTATTAGGCATAAATTATAAGGCACATTTAAAATATCACACTTGCTAGCACTCAAAGGTTTCTGAAGGGGAAGGCACATCAGACAGCCTCGGAAGTGTTGCAAGGGCCATTTCACTACCATATTACAGGAGAAATCAGACCAAGAGACCCATACCTCTTCTGTTCATGAAGGAGGGAGAACAGGGAACCTCCTGATATGTACTGGGTGACAATGGCAAACTGGCTGGGATCGTTCAAGCAAGCGCCCACAAACTGAATTACACAGGGATGATTCAGCTGGCAGAGAATGGACACCTCCCGGCAAAACATATCCACATCTGACTTGGAGCAGTAGGTGTTGGCTCGGTAACTGGAATGGCAGCAACAGGAAATCCTCATCAACAGATGGATGTGAACAAGGGGCTTGCCACACATATGCTCCTCAAAGGTCACAACTCCACCTGCATGCTCAATGTTTTCATGTGCTTGCTTACCGTTTGATGGCCACTATTTTATTTCTGCATCGTCCTTTATATACTTTCCCAAAAGATCCTAAAATTGTTGAAGAAAAATAAATAAACACATATTATCTTGAGCTCATTAAACTGAAGCAGACCTGAAGTTTCGCAGATTACCTGAGCCGATAATCTCGTGGAACTCAATTTCTGAGAGCTGAAGGTGGAAGTGTGAAGGCAATCCAGCCCTTAGGAGGAGAACGTCTGCCTTCTCTGCAAGCAGAAATTGTCCTTTCATTTTCTGAGATAAAAAGCACCCATGTGGAAAAGTGTACTATATGCATGCACATACCTGCTTAACCAAAAACACCATTCCCCAGTAGCATTTAATTGTCTAACTGGAACTGACTACTTGGAGACACTGAAAACCTTATCACAACTGACCGCTGACACCTTGTTGGTTCTCTGTCTCTGTCATTCCACCTTTTTATCAGAGCTCATTTTATTCCTGATATGATCCCCAACCAGTTGCCTGAGTGACATGGCAAGCCTGGACTACCTTTGATCTCACATTGTGATAAGCATTCTTATCTGATCAGTTCTCCAACTTATTCCGATATGCTCAAGGATCTATGAACTGAACCATAGAGGGACCCCAATTAAATGACATGAAATAAGCACATGGGTCATTCTGAGGAAACACCCAAATTAAAAAAATAATTTTAAAAGACAAAATTCTGAATAGTCAAATATGCCTTTAGAGTAGACTTGAACTTTTATTTTCCTAGTCTAATATTATTGATTTCTTCATGTAGCATACAAAGAAGTTCCCAAAGTTTTAATTAACTGAGATATTTGAAAAAAATTATTTTCAAGTATTTTTTTCAAAGACTAAACTATTTCCAGTCCTTTTGAAAAAATATTAACATTGGTAATTTATATTTTATTAAAATAAAATGTATTTCTTTAATGTTTGTGAGATTTTCACAGCTAAATCTTCATGAATTGCAAGGGCATAAAAGGAAGGTTAATTGTGACAAAGATAGTATGCTAGTAATACTGCTTATGCTTGTAAAAATTATCATTTGTAATATGTGAAATAAAATTGAAAGTTATAGTAGGGGCTGGCACTGTGGCATAGTGGGTAAAGCCTCCACCAGCAGTGCCAGCATCCCATATGGGTGCTGGTTCGAGTCCAGGCTACTCTATTTCCGATCCAGCTCTCTGCTGTGGCCTGAGAAAGCAGTAGAAGATGGCCCAAGTCCTTGGGTCCCTTCACCCATGCTGAAGAGCCAGAAAAGCCTCCTGGCTCCTGGCTTTGGATCGGCACAGCTCTGGCCATTGCAGCCAACTGGGGAGTGAACCAGCAGATGGAAGACTCCCCCACCCCGTATAACTTTGATTTTTAAATAAATAAATCTTTAAAAAAAAGAAAGTTATAGTAGAGGCAACAGTCATCCTTAGCAATAACGTATAATAATTGTCCCATGTTGTAAGTACCTTTTGTCATGTTTTTGATCTTCCCCAAGGGGGAAGGAACAGACACATAGGAGCCATCTAGAAATAAAATTAGATAGTTAGAAATAGCAATCATTTTTCTCTACTTAAAAGTTCATGAAAAGTACCAGGTGATAAAACCGAATAAACCTGTAACCTAAGGTCCACACCTGTTTTTGAACACTGAAACTGTACTGAGTGTTTATTTTGAAAGCTGATAAAAGAGTTTTAAAAAATGTAAGTTGTGGTAGACTCTACAGATTCAATTTATGTGAGTGTTCTCTGCCCTGCCTTAATAGATTACTGAAATGGAGAACAATTGTTCTCAGCTCACCCAGGTCTTCCCAGTCATGCAGAAGCCTCATAAAATCCAGTCCAGGGAATATTAGACTTGGAGGAAATGCAGATTCGTGAGTTAGAAAATAGCTTAAGTGGAGGTTTCTTTGTGTTCAGCCTCACCTTGATACGAGTTTTCTTAAAATTAAGCTAATCTGACATCAGTTATGCCCTCATCCTTAGCCCCAGAATGATAGCAAAAGAAACTCAGGTTTATCTTTACACACAATATTGCACAACAGTGAAAACTGGGGAAGCAAAGGGTTACCTCCTCCGGGCTGAGAATATTCATTGCAGGGCAGTTCCTCCTGGGGTCTCTTATAATGCTTCAAGAGTGTGACAATGGCATCATGTCCTTTATGGAAACAACAAAAGGTCTTAATATTTTTTTTTATTTATTCAGCCAAAAAATGTGATTTCAAGTAGCTTACAATATAGGACATATCTTAAGGGATAAGACATTGCAATAGGAATTTGGTACTTTCCTTTATTCATTCATTTAAAAATAATTTCTCAAGACTCAACTGTATGTGAGGGACTGTACTAGGCACTAAAGGTGGGTACAAGGTGACTAGGCCAATTCTTAAAGCTTACAATGTAGCAGAACAATTAATTAAAATAAAGATGAGGGTTTCTAAAAGAGGCAATATCAATTACTCTGGGAACATATAGTAACAGAACGATTCAAAGAATCGTTCAGAGAATAAGGTATATTTGCTGTTATTGAGCTTTGCATCGCGTTGGAAACTGCAGGATACCAGAGCACTGCAATAATTTACAAGGCTTTTGTGGCAGAGACAGCTAACTGCCCTCAGATACTTGTATTTGCCTTCTCAGGGTGATTTTAATACTGAGAATGGCTACCCACCCTTGGATGATATTTCTCTATCTACCTAGCATTCACTGGTGGTCTTGTGATATACTCTCCCCAAGGCAATAAGAGAAAAACTGAAATTACTTCCTGGCCTGGGCTTTAAGAGATGGGTGAGCCTTTTCTACCATCTACAGCTGCTGGCTGGATGGAGCAGTCTCTGTGGTCTTAGTGGCTAGGAAAAGCCATCCACTAAGGTGACATGCCTAAGAAATACACACAAACATTCTGGAGCTTATTAACTGCAGTGGGGCCTTACACTTCTGAAGCATAAAAATAGTACTGAATGATCCACTGAATAACCACATGATTTTCAATAGAATTAAACAGTAATACTCTTTGATCTAATTTGCAAAAGAGGAAAACAGTCAACTTTTCAGAGACCTCACTGAGAGACTGGTGAAATATGCAGAACTCATTGTAAAAGTCATATTTTGAGAACTGAAGTGTAAAGTGCTTATGCATTGTGAAGGACCCATGGTCACACAGTTCATCATAACTGATGTGTAGCATACATGCTGAGTTATTCTTGCTTATCAAGTCCTTCCTTCAAAAAAGAATTCAAATGAATAGTTCATGCCAGATCATGAGGTAGAACACTTAGTTTTTATTTGTACTAAAAACTTTTCTAAAGGTAACATCAAAAAACTAGCTTCTTAAAAAATTTTGATCATAATTGCTAAAACTTGTGCAAAACTTAAATCTATATGGTTAATTATTAGTGTCCATTTTCTTATCTATGGCTTCTTATTCACTATTGGTGTATTTCTGAATTTTGGAAATAATAGGCAAAGTTTATGGTGAAACAATGGGAGGTCAGTGCCATTAGAACTCTGTTATCTTTCATAGAGTCACAAATAGGGAGAGCATAAGACTTAAATTATGTGAACAAACAAGCTAATCTCTAAGGGACAGGCTTCAAAGGCACCGAGGATAATGTAACAGTCCCAAGATGGTGGCAAATACGGCATTTTCAGGAAACAAAGCAGGCCAGGGGCTGGAGCCTTCAAGCCAGGATGCGAGTAGTACCAGACTTGGTTGGAGAGGTAGGCTTATGAATATCACGTGGAGTAGTGCATCTCAAATGTTGTAGGGTGTATAAGAATCATTTGGAGTTTACGTTACAACAGATGCCTGAGCTCTGTCCCCAGAGATTTTGATTGACACCATCTATAGGAGAACCTGAGCCTTGCATTTCTAACCAGGTCCCAGGTGATACTGATAAGCAGCCTACACTCTGAGTACTAATAAGATAGAGCTTTGGAGGTTAGCGTGAGGGCATTGGATTTTAGTGTCTGTGAGATGGTGAGCCCCGAGAAGATTTTAATTGGTTGAAGGACATGGTCTTACTTTTTAAATTGCTCCTCACTTACAGGTTAGAATGATGCTTTATAAGATCTTTATAAGATTGTTGCAAAGACTAAGATGATGTGCATAATATGCCTTATGGTTGTAACACAGACAAGAGCATTTTGGATCTTCTCAGTGTTTTCTTGCCTTACTTTTTTGACCCAGGGAATGATAAATAAACTTGGAAAAAATTTAAGTTGTTTTGGGCACTTTAGATGAATCTTCTAAGTCCCAGTATACCCCATTGCTGCTATTGTAAATGACCACAAGCTCAATGACTCAAAGCAACACAAATTCATCATGTCGAAGTCCAAAGTGCTCCTCTCCAGCTAAAATCAAGGTGCCAACAGGGCTGTGTTTCTTACCAGAAGCCTGAGAGTACAATCAGTTTCCTTGTCTTTTCCAACTTTTATTACCCCCTTCCTGTAGCTTAAAAGCTAGCAACAGTTGGCTGAGTGCTCAGACTACTCTCACCTCCATTGCTGCTTCCCTTTTCCATATTTAAGGACCTTTATCATTTCATCATTACATCCATTGGATAATCCAGGGTAATCTCTTCTTTATGGTCAGCTAATTAGCAACCTTAATTTTCCTCTTCCATGTAAGACAGTTTGGCCCCGGTTCTGGGGTATAGGAACTGGACACCTTTGTGTGGGGTGGTAGGGCTATAGCCTGCATACCACCTCCAGAACTATGAAGACTTAGTGTTCTTTGCTTGCTTCTTGGTTCCTGCCTTCTTATTTAGATTTATTTTATCTATTTGAAAGGCAGAATAAGAGAGACAGAGAGATCTTCTATCCACTGGTTCACTCTTCCCAAATGGCCAAGACAGGTGGGGCTGGGTGAAGATGAAGCTACCATCCAGTAACTCCGTTTTGGTCTCCCCCCATGTGTAGTAGGGGCCTAAGCACCTGGTCCATGCTCTGCTGCTTTCCCAGGCACATTAGGAGGGAGCTGGATGGAAGTGGAACAGCTGAGACTTGAACCAATGTTTGTATAGGGAATGCCAGAGTCACAGGTGGAGTCTTAACTCGCTTTGCCACAATACCGGCCCCTGGTACTGCTTTCTGCTAAGCATCTCCCTTCCTCCTCCAGTGGTTATTTCAGACTCAGAATAACAGTAGTGACGCCATCAATGATTTCCTTTGGAATGGAAATACCTGTTCAAAGTCCCATGCTAGTTTCATGGCTTTGAAATTTTGTCTGCCTCCTCCACACTGTCCACTCCTACAATAGGACCTGCAGTACTTTCAGGATCTTTCTTTAATTTGGCCTTTGAGTATTTGTGGCCAGGGAAAAAAATAAACCAATGAAACCTTTTTCCTATTTCCATTTTTCCTAAGCGGGGCTCCTTTGGGAAAAGAAAACAACCCCACCCCCCCAGCATTTACCCAAGCACAACAAAGCTTGATTCACAGAGCCCACCTCCCCACCTGTCTCAGCCCCTCTGTAGAATTGACTTCGGCTGACAGATGCGAGGGCCTCATGCATTCCCCAGTGAAGCAGAAAGCTGCATCCTGCATCCTGGGCGCTGTGTGAGTCAGTGATCACACCCCTGATGTTACCTTTCATTTCAACAGCTCTCTTGGCTCCACTTGCACTGAGCGGTTTTAATTTCCTGCCAGCACAGTGGCACAATTTGCTGGCATTTTCTTTAGGATGCTTTTCATCAAGAGTCTAATGAGTGCCTGGGTTCTGGCTGATGATAAGCATAAGGCTGCCAGGGAAATGCCAAGAGGCCCCTTCAGCTCTGGAAGGCATCTCTGCCTGATTTCCCACCTCCTGCTAACTGCGGGGTAAGGCACCCACGTGTGGGAAATTCTCCACTGCTCTGACTGTTCTGACAAGCCACTAAAGTGTATGCAAGGAAGCCTGAAAAACACTAAGGCCCAGCTCCTCAACACTTGACAACAAGGAGTTAAGCAGAAAAATACCTTGATGGAGCTCAATAAATGGACTTGTTAAAGCCAAACTCCTGATAATGGATACACTCAGATAACCAAGGCAGACTAATGGAACATGTCCAGAGATAATCAAGCTTCAACTAATTAAATAAAATGTTTTCCTATATCTCACAATTTACTATCTACATCCAACTATTTTACCCAAATAGGAGGTTGCTATGTTATTAGCCTAATGCAGTTACAATAATGATTTGCACTTCCAGAATATTATTTATTGGAGTACCTAGGGTTTTGGCAAATGTGATTCACCTGCCAGCTTGAAGTCTCTCATTTCCTGCTCCCCATGCTTCTAGTCTTGTGTGTATCTCCCAAATATCATGCTTTCCTATGTTTCTTTATCACTTAAATTTGGTATGATTCCCCTCCACCCACAAACCTCTTTGCCTGGCTTTTAACTTTCTGAATAGGTATTTATTTTTAAAACCTAGGCTTTTTACACCACAAGTCATTCCAAATGGCTGTTACAAAAACAATTTAGTGCCTATAACATATTCCTGTACACAACAGAGGCTTCATAATTATTTGAGATATATAATTTTTATGATTTCTCTATAAGGTTCTCTCTGTGTCCCCTACCATTTCAATTTAGAAACAATGAAGGCTGATTTGCATCCCTTGCTATGAGAATTGTTTCAAGAACTAAATCTAGAGAGTAATGGTAGATAAAACCAGTACTGTGATCTTCTCTCTGACTATGTGGCTCTGAGACATTTTGGATCCAAGGCTAGATAGAAAGCATGGAGATTTGGTCTTAACTACAGAATCCAAGTAATTATTTTTGACTTCATACGTCCTGCAGGTCCAGGTAATACTTGTAGATGAGACTTTGCTTAATATTTCAGTATCTCCCCTTCCCATCGTGTTAAACACTCACTTTCTGGAAGCAAGGAAAGTGGATCGGAGGGTGACTTCTGATGTCTGCCCTTCTATGGCTCATCTCCCTCTTGACATTCCTGCTCCTATGTACTGTCAATTAGATCAAGGCAACAAAAATTCCTGACATGCTACACTTCTTGTGACTTAAATCTTAAAGAATCTTAACTTTATATCACAGAGAAGGAACTCCCATGTCCTTGGGCCACTAATGTTGTCTCTTAATCACCAGGCCCAAAAAAGAATGTCATCAGTCTTTCACCTTAAGATGAGAGTCTAATATTTTCTTTCCCAAAG